TCCTGAAAATCCTCAAAAATCCAACACTTGCAGTAAAAACAATGATTCACCAAACTGCAGTAAGACCAGTTAACCAATATCTGGTACATTTTTGCTAAACTAGAGTTGACCCTGTTTAATGCACTTCACATACTGGGGGTTGGTGGGTGAGCAGGGGGAAAAATAGGGGAAGTCCTCTTGGTCCGCTCTATGCCCTCAAGGAGAATCTACTTCTGACCCCTTTCTCTGACCACCACATCCTCTTTGTATTGTGAATATGTGGTATGTGTTGATCCCCTTAAGCAGCAGCGTTCAATCTTAGTTCCTTCAGGGTATGATTCAGCTTCAGATTTTTTCCCTGCGTGGGCCGGCTGCACAGAGTTGCTGCCAGGGCTGGCAGAGATGAACTCAATTTGACTTCTCTTTGGCATCAACAACGTGCAGCGCTTCGGTGAAAATGTACTTTAAATTGCTGTTTCCTCACCACCTGTACAGAAAATTACAACTGCTTGCAGGCAAATTTATACAAAGTTGCGTAGGCCTTACCATTGTTTTGATATGCCTGTGCACGAAGTGTGCCACGAGGCAAAGAGAATTGCCACCTCCTCAAAAAATCTCTGAGCTTGTGACCTTATGACCTTTTGGTGAGCAGTGATACAGGCACGCTGGAGCAGAAAGTTTCGGGCGGCAGGTTTGAGTGCCTTCATGGCCAACTATTCCTTTGCATTGTTAAAAACACTTGAAATTTTTTTCATCACGTAGAAATGACAGTGTTGACTGATAGTCAGAGCAGCAAACGCCTCTGCACTGCCCCAGCCAGGGCAGACAATGGTTACAAAAGATGCGACTGAATTCACAACAACCATCGTGGTCGCATAACAGCAAATCATTCAGGTCGTCGCGCTATTTATCCCCAGTTGTTTCCTTACACTGCAGGTTCACAAAAATTGAAGAACGGGGACAAATGCCCCCTCTCCTCTCCAATAAAAAGGCAGCAGGCCCAAGATGGTGCTTCCTTGCATATCCTGCATCCTGTCCACCTTAAATGGGCAGTTGGGCATTACGAGAAAATTTCCCTTCTTCCAGTGAGTCAGTTGTTGCCTCGGGCGAGATTACAGCAACCTACATGTAATTTGTATTTACAGCTATACCCCAGCTTCTTTTCTTCGCGCATGCTGGATTAGGCTGTGCAACAGTTCCTAAAGCTGTTAAAACATTGCCAGCCCAAGCGGAAAGACTCCAGTCAATTTTTCTTTCTGTTTTCCATATCAAAGCACATTTTTTTATCTCTGCTCCTAAATACTTAGTATTTCTGTAACTAAGAGAAAAACGTAAGCTGCTATATGAAACAGAACTTGAACAATGTACTCAAGTGGGTATCTGCAATACAACATAAAATATGGCAATCAAAGAAAACCTGCAATGGGCAAAAAACTTCATGCACAATGCTACCAGTACGTGTATATGATGCTATTTCATGTGGACCAGAAAAGCATGCCAAAACGATCAGATTTTCAAGCAAAGCACAAAAATGATGTCTATTCAACCTATGGAGGAAGGGAATACAGCAAATATGGAGAAGCCATAATTCCTGAATGCACTGTGACATACATGTACCGGTATGCTTGGTAACTGCAGGCTGAACAATGCACATGTGCGTGTCAGTTTGCAGTTTTGTAAGCAGTGAAGTAACCTTGAACTCCAATGACACAAGAGTTCAGGCGGGACCAAACCAGAGCAAGGCTTTCTCAATCAGAGTCAATCCCGATCGAAAAGAGAAAAGGGGGAAAAATAAATAATTCACTCATGCAGCAGACAAAATTCCAGCCAGGAAAGCTTGGCTGTGACTCGGAAGCCCTCTGAAATCCCCAAGGTCAATCGAAATAATAAGTCCAAAGTCACCAAAGTCGGCATGTACATGTACACCGGGTTCAAGACAAGTGCCTGGGAAGGGGGGCCAAAGGGCAAAATTGCCCCGGGTGATTTATTAGGGATTCCAGTGCATGATTTATGCTTTGTTTCTTGACAATTTCCAAATTGACTTTTACTAGTCTGATGGGATTTAGCTGGGTGTAGCAAGAGCACAGAAACTACATGTACACCAATCATTAAGTTATGATCAAAAACATAAATTTGGGCACAATCTCTTGTCCACAGAACTGGAAAATTCTAGCAGTTACATCCACTTCCACATACATGTATACATGTAGGTTAACTCGCTGGTAATTTCAAGGTAATTGAGGAATCTTTGTGAATTCAAGAAAAAAACACATTACAAAAAACCACCATCATTAAGTTCATGATCAGAAAATACATTCTGTATCTGAACAGGTAATCTCATTGGACCTTTCCCCTGAAATATGCAAATAAGGCAGGTGCATGCATATTACTACCACTGGTTGGCAAAGTTGCTTATAATACAAATCTCCATGTGCGCATTACTATTGCTGTTTCTGTACTAGTATAGTTTAACATGAGTGCCAAACTTTAAGACAAAGGATTGTTACTTTCCAACCTCAGGACATTGAAAACTTCACTTAGTTTTGAGAAAGTCTTGCTCAAGTATCGGGTAAAGGCTGTAATATGGTTTTGATTGACCTTCAACACTCCAGGTTATGGTTACTATAAGCTTGCCTATGCTACCAACAGTGTTGACGGCAGCACTTGCCAAGCAGTGGTAGTAGTGCACATGCGCCCATCCAATTTGCATATTTCATGCAAAGGTCCATTCCAGCACTATTATCATCTCCATACAGATGACATGCAAATTAGGAAACCAGTGCAAAGACTGGGGAGATTATGGCTTTGATTGTTTCACGCAGATCTGGATCTCGATCAGTGATCCAACTCTGTTTCGTGCCATCGAGTCGGCAGGATGTGGTATCGGTGAAGTGAACCAACTATGGATCACTGCTCGCGATCCAGATCGGCGCAGAACTGACAGGCCCCAAGACTAGCACATGTACTTTTCACCATGACTTCCTTGAAGCATGGAGATACAGAGAACAGAAAAAAAACTGTATCCTAAAGACAGATGTGAAATACAGTGCCAAGTAGTTGTAGTTTGTACCAAGAAATTTTAGAAGGGTTTAGCCAGTTTCCCCACGTTTCAATGCAAAATGCCTGGCTGATTAAATAAGAAAGTTAATACTTGGAGAAAAAACTGTACATATACATGTATTATTGCAACCAATGTCACCACAATCTTCAAACAATGGAATTCTAACACCTGGCCACAAAAACAGTCACATTCAACCTGACTTTCAGAGAGAAATTACAAATGAACAGATGATACATGCATGCATGTATGATGTCCTTGATGTTAAAAGCTAAGTACATACATGTATTACACTAAAAATGGATACAAGAGCCACTTCATCCCCCACATTTTATAATAAAGTTGTAATGTTTAATATTTATTTTAGTGTGTGGTTGATAACTGAACTCTCAGTCTCACATTGTAAACAGTAATTACTCTAAACTTGATTTACTGGTAGTGTTTAATTACAGTGTTTCAACAAAGTATAAAAACTGAATTCAAACTTGTTATATGTATTAGATACATTTTATTACATTTGCCTCTACAATGTACATCATTTTTCGTTTTCAAAGCTTGCAGACCTAAAAATATCATGTAAAAATGAAATCAACTTTAAGGCTATCTGTTAAAGTTGTATAATACTTCAACTTTTCCATTTCCCTATAAAATACCCAGAATAGTAAGACTCAGTGCCCACAATAACCACTAAGTCAAACACAGTGTGTGCATTATGTTGTGTGTGCGTGAGGTACCGCTACACTGCCACTTGCTGTTCATACTACTCTGCATTCGTTCTTGCTTGTTATGGGGAAGAATACTCAGCTTGGGTTAATATTTTACAAAAGGACAGGAGGCACATGTACATGTATGTACAAGGAATACATTGCATTTCAGTATTCACTACACATATATCAGCTTGTAACTTGCTGGTTATCAAACTCATTTTGGGTGCTTGTTCAAAATATCCAAACAGTCCAAAAGCTTGACAACATTTTACAAGCAAAACCTACTTCACGACAACAACATATTGCTAAAACCTTGTTCTCAGATTTTTTTTAAAAAGTAATTTCATGCCTGCACTACTTACAAGTACATGTACATTATTAGGCAACTTTCAGTCTAAATCGTTTTCTGGCTTGATGTAAATTTAACTCCAAAAAGATCACAATGTCCAGTAGTCCAGTACAATCAACATTCACTGGCCAGTGCCAAGACTTTCAATGCTAGCAACACTGGGCCAAGTTGATGGAACTTCCGAACCTCCCCTAAGCCATATTGACAACACTTCTATTTTTTCTGTAATATAAGAGCCCTTATAATACAAGTCTGGCTCACAACTACAGAACACCTGTCGTACTTGGAAGTTGAAAACTCACTTTCAACTCCTCCTGGATACAGTCAATGCAAATTTTGCCATTTCATCTTGTCCATCAGACAGCAAATACATGGGTGTTATGATTACCCAGGTGAGCAGTATCCACATTTTGAGAGCTTATTTTGCAATTTTAAGCATGTACATGTACCAGTTAAGTGCATTACTGTCATGTTGTTCAAAGCTCCTGAGATTGGGACTGACATGTACGTTGTGTAACTCTTCTAAAGTTAAATGTGAAATAAAGCAATACATGTGTACGAACATGTACTGCATGTAGAGACTGCAAATTTGAGTCCTTCTCCAGAAATGAATAACCAGTTCTCATCAGACTGTGAAAAACATTTCAGAATAGAAGAAAAAGTGGTGTGCATCATGGTTGAGAGATTGGTGCATAATTCCACAGAAACCACCACAGGACATTGTCATACATTACATGCAGTTGTAAATGTATCAAAAGTCAGATGGAGGATTTTTTTCAGTGACTTTTGGCATTTCCATAGCGATATACAAAGTTTGTGGTTTGCTTCCTTGATTTGGGCTGTCTACACCACATCGGATGTCATGATGCAAACCAGTCCCAGGGAAAGACAGTGGAACTGTCCTTACCTTTGGCATTCTTCCTGGTGTTCTCCCAAGGTACCTCTGGCTCCTTCGGCTGTTCACTTGGCACATACCACGTGGCGTCCTCCTCTGCCATTAGTACATTCACATCCACTTCCCCTTGCACAGAGGACGGACCGGTCTTCTTGGTGGGATTGACTCCAGCCGTTTTCCTGGAAGTGTTTTTCAGAGGCAGGGGGCGCGAGTCATTCAAATTGAACTGCTGCCTCTGCAGCTGAATTTGGGCCTGCAGAATTTTGAGAGGGTGCACCTCTTCGGAGGCACCCATCTCACTGTTGGCGTCTGTGGCATCACTGGAGGTGGACACTGGGTTGGACACCAGGTCACCCGTCGAAGACACTGTGCTGTTGGACGTTCTATTGGCTTTAACTGCTTGGCTCATGGCTAGTTTTGACTGGTCCATATTGTCAAGTTGGTAGTTCTGACTAGTCCGTGATGTAAGTCCACCTTGTGAAGAATAAGATCCCGTGGACGCGGTCTCATTCATGGACTGCTGAGAAGTGAGGGAGGACGCCGGTGAGTGATGCGACTGGTTAATGCAAGTAAGCTGGCTGAAAGAGTCGACGGGCTCATGGTTAGTGGCGGACATTGTGGTGTCTGGAGAGAACACACTGTCTAAAAAATCCTGTGTGGCACTATCACTGTCCACAGAGGGGGGCTGGTGGTTGGACAAAAGACTGGGCACTGACTCTGAACTGTTTAATTTTGTATCACTGGTCCTCCAAGAATTTGATGGCATATTTGGCGTTTGCGTGGCTGAACGGTTTGAGTTTTCCTCCACCAATGGCAACTGCCCATCGCTCAGGGGTGTTGAGGCACTCAAATTTTCCAGTGATGGGGGCTGGTCAAAGGACTCCACACTCAGGGGATTCTGAGAGGACTTTTTTCTGCCACGCCTCTTCTTCGGGCCAATAGTACTGGCTGCAAGCATGTCATTGACTTCATCAGACTTTTTGCGCTTGCCCTTCTTCCTCGGCTTGTCCTCTGGTCGTCTGGTGTTCATCTGCATGGGCACACTCTGCTCGAGGAAATCACTGAACTGCATCTGGTAGTCTGAAGGTACACTTGCTGTACTGTACGAAGGGGAGCCAAACGAGTCACCCATCGAGACTAACGGTGGGGAAATATTCTGGCCACTGGCACCAGGTGGTGAAAACATTTGCTCAGGCATCTGAGGACCGTAAGAGGTTTGACTTGATGGGGTGGGGGTGTATTTCTGTCCCAAAATATTTCCAGGGTTATCTATAACTGATTTCATTCCCAACGGGCTGTGCGAAGTTGAAGTGAGTTTGGGGACGGAGCTGTCCATGTCAGCAATCATGTTGCGACAGGCAGCAGACAAAGCAGCAATGCAGTTCTGCCCACCAATTGAGGAAGAACCGTCACCACTGTGACTTAGGTATTCCATATGAGAACCCTTCACTCCATCATCTTTCTTCTCCTTCAACGACTGAGTCAAGCGCTGAAGCTGTTGGACGGCATTTTCGGAATCTTTCCCCTTGTCCTGTGAGGTAACAGTGGTCGGGGTGGAGGTCGTGGGATTGGTCACGGGCGATGTTCGGATGGGCCTGGCGGAGTTAGAGTCCGGGGATGTCTGCTGTGCGACAGCAGCATTGGAACTCGGGGTGGATGGGGCTGAAGAGACGGCTGCACAGGACTCAGTAACAGAGGATGGAGCACTGGTCATCTTCACGCTCTGATTTGTTGTGATGGATGTTGTAGTGGCTGAGGGGGATTGAAAACTTTTGCCCATGCTTGTACTGTTTTCCACCGAGGTTGGGCCTTGATTATTGAACAAACCAGGAGCCACGTTTGCACTTGTTCCATTCAGGTAGGGAGGATTTTTTACAGGTTGTGGCAGGCTGCTGACAGAATCTTGAATTTGGGAAGCACCACTAATTGCATTTAGTCCACCAGGAAAATCGTCAGCCATTGGGTCCCTTGACAAGCGAGCCAGCTTCTCCAACTCTGCACTGAAGATCATATTTCTCCTTATGTCAGCCTGTGTTTGAGCTGCATCACTCTGCATCTGGTAAGCTGGAGGACAGTTATCGTTCACCACAGCACTGGAGCAGTTCATAACATTATACCTCTGCTGGCCTTCAAGATATGTCTGGTTGGTGTACATTTCTGGACAACCAGCATTGGTCTGCACCGAGGTCGGACTGAATGTATCTGATTTAGTTCTGGTATTGTAGTAAGCAGGGTTAGTGCTACCGAAAGATTGACCACTAACACCTTGCTGCTGAGTAGCTGACTCAAAAGACCTCTGGTTTTGAGATTGTACAGGGAATGTTGAGGCCCCCATACCTGTCTGCACTGATGGAGCACCACTCACAAATCTTCCATCCAGTGACCGAAGTCTCTCATGCCTTGTACTTGACGCACCACTAAACTGATCGTAATTCTGGTACTGTCCATCCATGTTGGGTGTGACCACAGACTGGCCACTGTTCACTGAAGGGTCAGCAGCACCATATGCTCTATACGGCAAATGGTGCATGCCCTGGGACTGGTTTTGATTAGGCATTGGTCCATAATGTCTCAACCGTTGACTGCCAGCACTTACATTTGACTGGCCCATGGCAGATGCCTGTGAATCTTGAAAATTTTTGTACCCTTGAGCTCGTGACTGGCCTGTAGCCATTTCACTGTACGCTGCACCCTGCCTTAAATGGCTACCTCCTGCAAACGGCTTGGCAATTTTGTTACTGTAATTCATTGAAGCTGAAGTGGGTGGACATATATCCATGCTGTTTACTGAAGGGTAGTGATTTGTTGTGATTTCGTTGTTGACAGATGAATAGGTTCCCTGTCTTGTATTTGTATACTGCATCCCCTGCGTGTTTGTTGAATTCTGATTCCCGTGTGGAAACTGGGGGTACATGCCGCTACTCTCTGCAGAGTCCATCAAATGCAATGCCTTGGCATTTGACATGGGAGAATGGGATGGGAACTTGGCCGGCGCTGAATAGCCAGAATCTGACCATCCTTCGCTACCGGCACCTGTGCCGGCTGTTGGATACGAAGGTTTCTTCATGGCACTTGATGAGTACGGCTGCAGGTAACTGTTTGCTTGTGTCCTCCTCATTTGGCTATCTGCCATGTTTGATGCATTTGTGTCCAGATCTGAAAAGGCTGTTTGATTGTACCCAGTCATGCTAGAATAGGACTGGCTGGATGAAGGGTACTGGTTGTGTGAGTTTTCATAAGGTGTTCCAACAGGGTAAGAGTTCGATCGTGCATAGCTCTGGGTTGGTACGTTGCTCTCTGCAGCAGGAATAGACATTCTCCTTGTCATGTGTTCAGAAGAGTAATCTGAGTTTGTGGGGTGTTGCTGCAAAGAATTGCTCATGCTGTTCATCCCTCGTGTCTGTCTACCATACACAGCACTTGACATATACTGTCTGTTGTATGCATGCGATCTGTTCATATGGCCATAACCAAATCCTTCAGTGTTTGTTTCACCATGCCCATATTCCCCATAGGGCATGTTTGCAGGATTTGTGGCCATAGTTCTGTTTGGCATGGGGTACATTTGCCCGTCACTCCCGGCATTGGAATGGAACCCACCAGATCCAAGGAGGGCATTGTCCAAATCACTGCATTCAAATCCCTTCAAGCTGTCCGCCGTGTTGCTGGCACCGTAAGAGTTGAACCCGGCGCCTGCGTCCATACCTCCCCCGTGATAAGCCTGTGTTGCCCGGGACGGGTAGCCTCCGGCGCCCGCCACCGACCGCACTCCGTAGTCGACCCCGCCAGCTCCGACTGGGTTCCCGGTCATCACTGTGCTGCTGTGCTGTTCGTGCGAAGCGGACGACGGCAGGTGACCCACTGAAAACATCACGCACACGGACTGCAACCGACCGTCACGAAGCGTGCTTCACCGTTGCTAAATGTCCACGGGCCATGCTTGTCAGAATTCCAATAGTTTTATCTGCCATAATAAAACTGCCATTAGGCACATAAGCGTCCCATAAAGCAATCACTATAATCTGAAGTCCACACTAAAGCTTGTACTGCGTAACAATAATCAGGTGATTAAAGTTCTTATCCAGAACTCAAGATGTTTTTTCGCTCGATCATGTTGACTGATACTGCCATACGACCGGAACACGATGTGACAATACCCCGTCAAAAATTTCACTCTAAAACGTCGTAACATGGGAACTGTCACACAATTATAACAATCCAATTCGCTGGTTTATTCATGTCGACAGCGGTTGACCAACTTTTGAAGTTTCATGAGATCTTTCCAGTCACTTTCTGCAAGCTTTTAAGACGGGGTTGCCAGCGTGCTGCACCGGTAATCCAAGCTGTCATTTACGTTCACAAAACGGTGCGATCAATCGTTGAGAGTCGGTGCACACAATGAATGTCACGGAATGTCGATAGTCACTCGACCAGTTTGTGAGCGCACACGCATCAACAAGTTTCATTTCAACGAGGCACGCTTCCTGTTTCTTTTGCACGGATTCCAGACGAAAAAGACTGGTCAAAATGGTCTCCTGGTCGAAATTCACAAGTTTGCCGAAATACGAGTGACTGCTTCCGCAGGAAAATCTCACATTCCTCCAGTCGAATCCCGGCCGATTCGGAATGAAAAGTTCCCATAAACTTGTACACAGCACATTAACGCACGAAGTACTGTACATGTACAGGGTACATGTACTACGTACAGTCGTATGCAAAATCGTCGTCTGCAACATCGCACGACCGGCCATTGTGTGTACCAAACGCCGTGCGCATGTATGAATTTTTAATGAGAGCCTTCCATTCTGTGATGGGAGGGATTGTTGTATTATTCATCTTGGCTGTATTTCAGGACTCCTGCTCAAGTTTTTTCAACTCTACCTTCCTGTTTTATATTGAATTAGTATTGTTGCTCTTCTTTTACTTAAAAAAACGCACCGTATTTGATGGACTCACCTTTTCAGGGAAAAAGGAAAAAGTTTACAGCAATTACCCTAATTCATAATAGAACAATCTGAGACTAAAGAAATGGGCCAGCATTACAAAAGTTCAACTTAGAATTTGATACGCAATATTTGGACAGGTCGATAATGCCTAATTACACTTCACTGAACCCCCTGTCCGGAGTGGGCGGGATTTTTTTTAGCCCTAGGCGTCAGACTTTTGGTATCCCGTGTGAATATCAGACAGTGGCAGTGGTCACAGCTTTCGTGCGTGTCTCTTCCTGTTTTTTTCTGACATGAATTTTGTTCTGGAAAAATAGCCTCCATTTTTATCTATAATCTGTTAACAATTACTTTCAACCTTCTTTGCAGGAAAGGGTGTCGAAATGTGTAATTAGCTTTACATTAGTCTTGGATAACTCAATTTCGACTTAACAAGCATTTACAGAGTTGTAGCGTGAAGGGAGAATATTGTTCAAGAATTATTTTCTGTGCTTCAGTAGAAAATGGCTGTCTGAGTACAGCAAGAGGTGTTTTATTCTAATTTTGACGGCATGTATGCATGTTGGAGTGCATGGTAACTTTACAAGTTTGAGTGGACTTTGCGATAGAATACGATCTGTACTTTACAAGGATTAGGATGAAATTTTGCAGAGTTTTGCTTCTAGTAGCGAAACTCAGGAAGTGGTGTAATTGGGGTATTTTTGCAGGGGGCAACTTAGGGGTTTCATTTTCTGGACGAGGCACTCGTTGTGTTCATCACAGTTAAAACAGTGGTTATCAGCAGATTTCTTTCTCTAATTTCTGAGCGGCGGTCACAGGCCCTGAGCCTGTGCCCCTGCCCCCACCCCCTGTTCCGTAAATGTACCCAGACAACAACAAATGGAAACTACCAAAGAAAAGCACACGAGTGATTATCTATCGTGTTGTTCCTAGCTCTATGGCGTGTCTAATGCTCAGCATTGAGCCTCCGAGTCCCCACAAGACATATTGTCACCCCGCCCATCAATTAGCACCTTTATTGACTGTGACAATCACTTGGGTACAGTTCAGCCCTAATCGGGCGTGTCTTTAGGCCACTCGAGGTATTGGAAGGCGATCACCATTAGGCTGACTCTACAATAGGGGCTATAAACAACTTATTGATTGTCTGCGTGACGCATGTTGATTGACGGCTCTTGGAGTTAAACATGCAGTCCACCCCTGACTACAGATCTTTGTCTCAGCTCAGCTCACGATCTGTTCTTGCTTTTCTAGTTTCTGGAAACAAAACTGCTTAGCCGTTCCATAAAAATCTCAGCTCTAAAAAAAATTCTACCACTTAACATGCTGAGAGAAAACTTGTTGGCGTCCTGTTACTGTATGGTGCAGTCTAAACATTCAAAGCCAGTACGCAGGCATGAGAGCGTTGGATTTTCCAACGTTGATCAGACTCCGTGGAATCATTTCCTCCATGGTGGAACAAACTTGTAATGAAGTGCAGGGGATTGAATAATTAGAATTAAGGTCATTTAGGTTGAAATGTTTGTGCTATTTAACATCTACATTGTTTTTGCAAGCAGTATTTGAGATTGCGAAGTTCAAAAATGATAAATTAGAAATATAGTCGTAAATGCTCATTTTTCAATAGCTCCACCTGGTCTCTATAACAGAACGGTTGGCATAGATGGAGTAAACACACCTTATTTATCGTTGGGAAATGCAATTGGCAAAACTAATATCAAAATATTGTTTGGAATTTTGTGACGAGTGCCAAATATTCACCATGATAGTAATGGCTGTTTTTCATTTCCTTTTTCTAAAATAACTGTTTTGTTGAAATCTGTGCCATCCAATAATTGGGGATGTAAATAAACTTCAAAGCGTACAACATATTAAAGACGATCTTATGAAGATTAGTTATCGAGAAAAAAGTAGCAAATTCATATCTGTTCGAAAGCAAAAGAGAAGGCCAACTCTAGAATAGGGGGGAGGTTAAGTAATGGTTAAGTTGATTGTACTTTTGTACGCTAAAAACTTAGACATTAAAAAATACCTCCGGCCTCCCCCCCCCCGAAAAATTCCTAGAAGCGCCCCTAACCCCATCCCTTAATTTTGCTGGTGAACTAAACTAAAGCTCGGCCGTTTCCTTCTAAATTTCATGCTTAACGTCAAACTGCAGCTTGAGAATTAATGTATAATGGTATTACCTTGAACTGGTGTAGCACTGATCTTATAGAAAGATGGAAGGGAGATGTAACAAACCGTCAACATTAACTTGTGGGCTTATCGGTTTGTTATGACAACATAGACCTATATGGAGTTTATTTCATTTTTGAAAAATACGAGCAACTGCTCATTGTGAGTTTGTATGAGTCGTTATTTCACCGATAGCCCACCCCTCCCTTTTTAAGGTAGAGTTTACACCTTGGATTGGTTTCACAATAATGACTATAGAGAAAATCCCTTATATTTAAATAACCATTTATTGATGCTAAGTTGACATTAGTTAGTTTCTCGATTTTTATTTCAATGCTCTTTTTAATGCTTCTTGTACGAAAAATTGAACGGCGTCGATGACGTTAGAAACCGTCCCAGTTTAGACGCGCCTTGACCCAAGTACAATATACCAGTCTACTAATCCAATAGTCTGAATGTCAAAGTCTATAGAGGGCGCCATGACTCGAATTGTTTCAAGCGCGCGGCACTGCACTGTACTTTCTACTAGAGCGTACATGTACATGCTCACGAAGCTCTAGTTTTCTAGTTATGATCAGCTGGCTAGGCCTACTCATTGCGCTCACGTAGTGGTTGGATCGTGTTATTCGTAAAGCGGGAAATTTTAATTTTCCACATGATTAAATCATTATTATGTTCAGCCTAGCTGTGTAGTTCTGACTGTGCTTCTTACAGTCCTCACGGATCACTGGACGCTCAAGAATATTATCACCTCTGATGATGGAAGATGCAGGCTTTACGACTAGCAGACTAGCCATTGAGGAATTTCCTCCATGTTCTAGCTGGGCTCAATGACCGATGGTTACCGTGACATGGTTGAATTTGTGGACAAACATTTACAAAAATTCACTAACACGGGATCAACAACCATGGCTACTCCTTCAAATTACAGGGATTTATTCAGGTACATGTATTGAGTAAACAAAGTGTTTTGTTTTTTGTTGTTTTTTTTTCTTACCCCGGTACCTGTCTTTTCGTATGTTGAGATAATTTCTCTAAACATTCTGACGTTTAAAGCTGGACTTGGGCATGCTGGGGGCAGTCAAGATTACTCATCGCTGGCAGCATGGAGGAAGGATTCCTTTCTTCATGCTGGCAGTGAGGTTTTTCGTTCCATAACTTCGAAGTGCACAATATATATTGGTAGCATCAGGTCACTCATTGCTTTTCATAAAAAAACTGGCATCAAACCGATACTAAAAACAAGCCCTGTTCCCCTTTGAAAGTAAGTGAATGAGTGGCCAGGCGGTTCTCTAGCAAACAAGTTTAGAGAGCATGTAGTCATGGCATACACTTCCTGCAATGCCAGGCCAAGCAGGCAGGTTGCAATTATTCTACCATCTTAAGTCCCAACACGTGTGTCTTCCTTTGATTTTTTTAATTGAATTTCAAGGTAAAGGACAGGATAACTCACTTTTTTTTCATGGGTTTTCACTCTGGAGAATTTTATTTAAAACAATTAAGTCTGAAATCACGTAAAGGGACTGAATTCCATCTTGTGAATACACATTTACAATGTGAGCATGGAACCAGATGACAATTTCTTATGGTTAAATATCTTAGTCCCCCAAAACACTGCACATTCAGTTGCGTACTGGCAAAAAAAAATTTAGCAATTCAGTACTGGTTCAAATCTCAAGTATCTGCGGCCGTTTTTGTTTTGTCTCTTTTTTATAATCAGATAAAGTTTCAGTTTGCTATTGGATTACATTTTTTGTGTCATTACATGCTTTGTCCAGTATATCAGGTTTCCTGCTCTTTTATCTCAGATTATACCTAGGTTAACAGTTTGTCTTTTGAGTGGAGATGCCGTTGGAATCTGAGAATGTCTATTGTCACAGTGCAGCTTGGTCAGTGTGGAAATCAAGTCGGGCATCAGTTCTTTCAAACTCTTATGACTGATCTGGCCAGCCAGCAGGACCAGAAATCTAACCACAGTGTTCATTACCAGTCGGAGAGCCTTCGGCGCTTCTTCTACAACCCTAAAGATGAATTCCTTCAACACAGCAGTGAGGGTCCAAGGGCAAACATCCCTTTTGCCAGAGCGGTGCTGGTGGACATGGAAGGAAAGGTCGTGCAAAATGTTGCCTCACAGGCAAAGAAATCAGGGTTGTGGCAGTACGACAGGAAGCAACTTGTCTCCCGGAAGCAAGGTGCAGGTAACAACTGGGCGGATGGATTCTTCGAGCAGGGCCCCCGGGTTGAAGAGGAGGTTCTGGAACGAGTGCAGCGGGAGGTAGAGAAGTGTGACGCCTTTGCCGGATTCCTGACCCTCATGAGTGTGGCGGGAGGCACTGGATCGGGTGTTGGTACGCGCATCACCCAGATGCTGCAGGACCACTACCCCCATGCCTTCCTTTTCAATCACCTGATCTGGCCGCATGGAACAGGGGAGGTCATCCTTCAGAACTACAACGCCATCCTCTCGCTGGCACATTTGTACCAGTCAGCCGATGCAGTCCTCATCTCTCACAATGACGCAATGCGGACGATCTGTGGCCAGCACGCCACCATGCTGAAGCAGAACGTCTCCTTCCAAGACATGAACAAGCTCATCGCGCATCACATGAGCGTCGCTTTCCAGCCGGCATTCCTAACATCGTCGGCCAGGAGGCCTACGTCGTTGGGATTCATGATGGAACATCTTGTCCCTCATCCAGAATACAAACTGCTGACACTGCGTAGTGTCCCTCAAGTCTCAGATGCAGCGTTGGCGTTCAGTACATTCAACTATCGTAGCCTTCTCAGCAGACTAAGACAGATGCTGATAACTGGAACTGTAATAGAAGAAGGTGTGTACGTGATGAGTGTTGAGCTTGATCAGTAGATCTGCATGATCAGGCAGTTGTGCTGTGCTGTCGGTCAATCCTGTAGGAAATCTCAGACTTCATTTCCCTTTTTTCTAAACAGTCTTTCAGAGCAGTGAATTACATGTACAAAGACTGGGTGATCAACCGATGGTGGCGGGATAGCTCAATGATAAACCGACCTTGCCCAACATTTATAAGCACATGCATACGTAAGCATTGCACATTTATAAGATCGTGTTAGCAGGCATGCAATTTTTCCTTGGATCAGCTGTCCCCTTATTTTTCACTGCACACTCATGCCATTAAAAATTGAAATACACTGTACGGAGTCTTGTAGAGATTGGAATTACATGTACCTCGTTTTTGTCAAAATCCAGGTTGCATGCTTGTGTTACAGATGTGCATGCTCACTTTTTCACTTCATGGGGACCACATTGCTTACCAAAAAATTCAACCACTTTTCTCATTGCAGGTCTCTGTGATTTTTCCCCAGACAATCAAAGTCCGAATGTATTCTCTTACAAGATTTCATTATAGATTTTATAAACCTGGCATATTTCCCTTTGAAGTTAGGTAACAAGGCCAAGTTACAATGTATGTCCATAATCCAGGCTACCTGATAGGATGCTTGGGAAAGAAGCATCAGTTGCCAACTGATATATAGGTAACTCAAAGAAGAGTGGATTGATAAAAGAGACTGTGCATATGGGAATGCTCAATGTCCACACAAACATATTTAGTAACATGCTTTGTGTTAAATTCATCTACTGTAACTTAGTGTAAGTGGCCACTTTTAGTTTGCAGAAACCACCACAGGAAGTTCTTAAGGGTAACCTGTGCAGATGCACTTAGCCCTTGGAATATCAAGGTCTTTATCAATCATTATTCTGATTTGAAACTTTTCTGTGCAGGTATCAACTGGCATGTGAAGTTGCCATCCAAACCTTCACCATCCAGCCAACACAACAAGTCCCTGGCTGCCCTTCTGACAGTCCGCGGCAAGGAATCAGACCAGGCAGACCCTGTGGACTTCAACAGCAGCTCGCTCTACGCCGACTGGGTGCCCAACGCTGCGGCTTTTGCCGCCCAGTGCCAGGAGCACCCTTTTAGCGGGCAGGAGAAGACAGCCAGCCTTCTGAGCAACTGCCAGACCCCACTGGGGCCCCTGGACCTGGTGCTAGGCAAGGCATGGGACATGTTTGCCATGCGGGCCTACGTCCACTGGTACACGAGGTACGGCATGACTGAGGAGGAATTTATCGACTGCTTTGCTGGGCTGGAGCAAGTGGTGCAGAACTACAAGCAGCTGTAATGATCATGGGACCGTCAAAACTCATCTAAAACGGGTCAAACTAGTCTGGAAGTTTCAGTTCTGTGTACATGTCTGAGAATCCCAACACTTAAGCCAGTGAACACAAAAAATAAAGGAGACATCGTCACTGCAGTGGTATCCATTGATCCAAGACTTCCAAGTGCATTTATGCAAGTCATAACACCTGTTGGTTGAAGAGGAGTGTAACAAACATGTACTACTCATCCATGATTGTAGTGCCACCACAGTAATTGCTTATAGTTCTAGTTGCTGAATTAGTCCTTAACTTGATTATTTCACTGGAAACAGCCCAAAGCAAGTGTTGATTTGGTTTTCTGGAAGATTGGCTTAGCCCCACAGAAATCTTGCAAAATCCCCCCCCCCCCTTTAATGTGCATACATGCAGGTTCATTGAAGTATTCTGTCAATATCTTATTTGTAGACGTGTGAAGAAAATATTTGTTCAGGGATAAATGATACGAGAGCGACCCACAAGAAATAATTCCAAGTACAGAGAATTTCAACAAATATAATTGTTAAATATTTTTCACACAACTCTAATTTTGTCACAAACTATCTTGGAGACACATCGAAGCATAGAAGCCCCAAAGCAAAGTTGCATGACTTCACCTCAATACAATCTGTTTAATCCAAACAAAAACCAAACTGAAACCAACTGAATTCCTATCAATATTCAGATTTTTATTTTGTTTTCAGGGTGTCCATACAATTTGTCTTATATATAATTGTCTGCTCTATCTTTTACTGTACACGTACAAAAACTATTCGGATGGGAAATTGTAGAAATATCATACTCACATTGAACTGAAACATGTTGACTTTCGGGTTGAGCAATGGAAGTACAATTGCATATTTACCATCATCCTGCTATTAAATCCAACATGATCAGGCAGCTTTTTCTTTCCTTTTTGCCCTTTTCTCTTTAATCAATTTCGATGTGAACCGAAAACAAAAGCTCACACTACGATAGCTGTATGATAGTGTTGGAATCAGGGGTTTTAGGGTCACAATACTTTAGAGCAATAAGCAGTTCACAATCATCACAAGTACCAGCTTTTGGGGAAAAAAAAAGTAGTGACGTTACTTCCCAGAATTGTACAGATCTTTGGTATTCAACTTGGGTATAGAGCCACAGGCAAAATCAACATTAGCCTTGAGTTTTCAGGGGCCCTCCATTTTTTCCATCATTGTCACGAGTGCAAAGAGAATACTCTACTGAGCCCCCCTTCCCTTAAACAAACTGAAAAGAAAACAAAACGTGTCAAGTTTACATGGCTCTTCTACCACCTTCCCATTGTATGCTTTGTACAACAATGATGCAAGAATGGATGACCCCTAACTACAGTTAAGGTGGGATGTTAGGGTTGGGCTTGATTAGCATGAGGAAAAGTGCTGGCATCTCCAGCGACCACTCAATTTTATTACAAGAACATTACTCCCAAAACAGTATTCAAAACTACTGTGTGATATAATTCATCCCAGAAGCTGGGATGTTTAAAGACATGACCTGCAGCGTGCAACATTTAATCCTATCATTTTTCAGGGGCTCATACTTCTCACTTATAAATTATTACTAAAATTTACTGAATTCTTTAACACTTTTATCCGTGTGACACGCTATAAATAATGTTGGCTGCCAAAGTATTCCATAGTTCTACTGACTTGCAACAAACCATACTTGACATGGACAGGTAAATTGGTTTACATGTAATAAAAATTTACACAATCACTTCACAAAATAATTACTTTGGCAAGTAGTAATATATAATCCATTTATATTAAAAAACCTAAGCAGGAATGAATTAAAGTGAGTTTTCAACAGAACTGAGTGGCATCATTGGCAATCCACTCGAGTACGCAGTGTAAACATTTATTCAAAACAGTTGGTGTTTTTCAGAAGTTTTGAAAGGTACTCCACTATTGAGATAATAAAATAAATTAGCCTTTACTGCTGATTTACTCCAAACCAGAATTCTGTTGACAATATCGAGCTGACTGAATCTAGGCTTCACTTGTAGTCAAGTCAAACAAGGCGACCAATGAGCAACTGGTTCTTGAAGAACAATAGGCAAGGAAGTTGGGAATTTCCACAAAATGTGTATTTTCCTTGACTTGCTTGAGGTTCAATCCCCTGCCTTGTCTACGTTGTTGCCTCCCCGTTAGCTTAAAAAATTGCAGAACAATCTGCAGCCACAATTGGAAATGAACGGGAGTGGGCTGTACCAGTCACTGCCCGTTTCTGGTTATTTTCACCAAACACAAGCCAGGTTCGCCTATTTCCAACGGGCAGCAGTTTATTTATGTAGGGTAAACCCCTGGGTTCACCGCCCCAGGGTCATCAGCACAATAATGCTCCCTCCCCTTACAGGATGTGAGATAAACTTACTCAAACTGTTGGGTAACTGCCATTCACCTGCCATCCGAGTTCGTTTTTTTCCCCCATCGACTGGAGACTTCAGTTTCCCGTGTTTGTTCCTACATTGCACAAACACTGCCAGGGAGGGACGCCACGGGGAAAGTTGATACTCTTTGCAAAGTTTTGGAAAGGGTGGGAAAATCAATTGCTGGCCAGTAATGGCAAAGGCATGGGGATGACTTCCTGTCCAATAATCTGCGACGTCCCAGGTGGTCAGCGCCAAAAAGTAATGTTTTAATTGGTGCCACACGTGGGGTGAAATGGGGAGGGGGGGGCTGGGTGAATATTAATGTGTTGGGCTCAACAAAGTGACAGGTCAGACTGGCTTGAGGAACATGATAGGTGTATCCATTCCCGCAAGGGGAAACTGAACTGACGCATGTGCTACGTGATACCTACTGATGTTTTACTAACTTTGCAATTACCTGCAACCAAAAATAAGCTGTTTGTACTTGTTTTATTTTTAGAAGCCGATGATCAAAAAAATTGAGTTGGGCCTTAAGAATACGAATAGGAATGGTGTCCTTTTTCCAGAACTACATCTCTGTGGAGTTCCACACATTCAGAAAAATATTTATACACAAAGCAGCCATGCATTGCAGATGTGAACCTTCTGTTAGAAAACACAAAATGATTTCAGGATGGAGAGCACCACTGAGGGTAATCTAGTTGACTTTTCCTTCTGACCAATCACATAGACTCATATCTGCCCATCTCAAAAAAGTTCAAAAGCAACTTGCGCATTCCTATTATGTGTGCTATTGCTTCTGCACAATTTGCTTTAGCCCTGAATTCTGCCATTGCTAGCAAAGAGTGACCTCTTTCTAATAAAATTCTTGTTAAACTGCTTTTATGAGGACTGCCATGATAGAACGGTTCTGTTCGGCTTTGAATTACCATGGAAAGAAGGCAGCGAACCATGAAAACATGGTTTTCTTCAGGGTCCTTGAGCACACGAAATCAACAAATATTGATTTTTTGGTTTTATGAGAAAGAAAGACCCACTGAAATGTTGCTTAGATCAGTTTTTTGTTTTGTTTCAATAAGAGAAAAAAGCAAGACATGTTGTGACCACTTAAGAAGCCGTACTAATTTTCTTGCATTGCATGTGTAATTCTGTTGCAAGGTAGCCAGAATTATTTTATTAAGAGTCTGTCTTTTATCGATAAGCTTCTCTCCATACAAAACCCATATATCCAAATGACCAGCAGTTTCTGCTGGTTTCCAGCCATGTGTGTGTTAACTGATTTCTTTACAATTGCTTGGTTTCTTGGCGAGTGCTGTTCACAGTCAAAACACAAAAGCATTTGAATTTACTGACATTGACAAAGGATTGGACAGAAAGTACCACCAGTGTCTAGGTGACGCTTCTTAGGTCAACCCAGTGATTTGTGACAACGCTGTCACCATGGCATTGCCTTGGTGATCTAATACAAGGAAAGATTCTGTTTGCTGTCGTCATGATGAAGACGACTGGTGGCTGACCTCGTTAAATTTGACCCGCGGGCTTCCGAGGGGAACGCTGTGACCTGGGGACAAGCCTCTGCTGGCTGGGGCTGGGTGGGGCTTCACTGCTGGGGAAGGGGGTGGAGTGGATGACCCCGTCTGCATGTTGACATCATTGATGATCATCTGGGCTATCTTCAGCGCCATCTCTTCTTTACTCTGCAAAGGAAAGCAAGAAGCAGACCACATGTCATATTACAAGGGCATCTGGAAACAGCATCTGAAAAATACTTTTCCCATATTTTCAAAATTCTGAAAACTAAAACTACCTTAGGATTTACAAGCCACCAAAGACAACATTTCAAAGTAATTTCCAAAACATTATTCAGTTGTTGTTTTGGCTCCTCTGTTGGCTGAAACATAAATGGTTGTTCACAGAATAGAACCAACAATTCTCCATACAGAGACGTCTTCCCACTGAGCTACCATGCACCATCTACAAGTTTACCTCTGCATTATGCTTGCCCATTCCTCCACATGTAGATGGGTGTTTCTGGAGCTATGTTTTGTCAGGTATTCTCTTCATGTTTGTCAGACTGGCAGTAAGTTCAAATATGTCTGAAATGTAGTACTATCCAAGGTTTTCACAAAAACCTTCAAAGCTGGTGGGCAAAGGTGGATCCAGGGGGCATGGCCCTCACAAGAAAAGGAACCTTTTTTTAAAGTAAAGAAAGGTAATTTCATAACCCTTCCTTCTAAAAAAAAAAGCCTAGAGAGCGATAGAATTGTCTCATCATTTAGAAAGGCCATTGAAGGTTACACAAAAATTTTGTCCTTTTTTGGCTCCCCCCTCCAAAAAAACTTGTCCCCCCAAATTTTGTTGTGGATCCACCCCTGCTAATGGACAAGATAGCATCCTTTGAGTGTATCTGCAATAAGGCACATACCGCATCCTGTTCGCCTTTCACAAGCTTCTTCAAAGAGAACTTCGAACCTGTTCGTGGGACAAACAAAATGAGATCAACGGAAACGGTCACTCAACTGGGAAGTCAGCAAGAAGCTGCATAAAAATTTATCAAGTTTTTTTCCAAACAGACACCAGTTCGTTCCAAACATCTGTGACAAACTCACTTGAGGATTTCTTGTTCATGGCCTCTGGGTCTGGCTCGTACTCAGCAACATACTGGCCAAGGTGGTTCACCTTACCAAACGTCATCATTCTAGCATGAGAAACAAAAAAAACAAATTTCTGTGAGAAGGAAGCTTGGCCTCATCAGGACGGTTCATGACCAACAACTGGGGGGCCAGGTGACACGAATCTGTAACTAGTCAGGTGTTCTGTTCTTGAGCGAGGTATTTTGCCCCCAAAATAAATGATGGCTGGGATGACTATTGTCCTATTATTTGAGCATATTATATAACTTTCTTTCAGAGTATAAGGTAATCACCCAGTTACAGTAAGGCAGACACTGAAGGTCCATGCGATCACACACAAGCCATTTCTTAATAATAAACACCAAAATGATTTGGAAGGATCTAGCCAAATGAAACCATCTTTTCACATGTATTTTGGTCCCTTGCATATCCGCATCCATTTTCCACTTATTATACAATTTCGAAAGAAATTCTCTGTAAGTTGTTCAGATGCTGAATGAATGTCAATGGAAAAGCACCTTCGGGTTGGTTGAAGACACATACGCACTTGCACCCCATCTGAGAAACTGAGACTCATCTGGCAAACTATTCCAAAGGCACCTGCCCAAGGAGCATGGTTCTGGACAGGTGCGTAAACTCACCCGTGGTCTGGCCTCTGCCACAGCAGATCGGGATTAGAGTCCAGACTCTCCATGTTCATCTCGCTCTCCTCAAATAACTTCTTGACGTTGCCCTCAGCCAAGAGGGTGTTGCGCGACTTGGGCTTGTCCTCAGACCCCGTGCCCCCCACACCAACGACTCCTACCGAAGTGTCTCCCGGGTACGTGGCGGCATGCTCACTCTTGATGGTGTTGATGAGCTCAGACAGAAATTTGTAATACAGCTGGCTTTGTAGGAATCCGGGGAAGTACACCTGAATCAGGTGGAGAAACAACCCACAATCAACGTACAATCTCAATTACGGGCACGCACCTTACGACAGTGGTTTGCTTAAAAAATGTCAGAACATGCTCATATGCAGCTTGATGAAAAGTCAGAGATCAAAAAACCATATTACATGTTTAGAAGGCTGTCAATGACAACAAAAACAATTTGGGGAGTCAGATTGGTGCAGCCGTGCTGTCCTTGCCTTCCACCCCAGCGGCTTGGATTCAAATCCCAACCAGGCCGTGGATCGGGTTTTCAGTCCCTACATGATTCCATGGGTACACCCAGAATATTTGTCTGGGGATTTTTCCCACTTGTACAACTGAACTTTCCATCACTGTCTTCCTTTCCGTGGCCCTGGAAGAACAGTTTGTAACAGATTGGATTTACCCAGTTTAAACAAATGATAAGTAAAACATAAACTATATTTGATGATGAGAGTTGCTTTCTCTAATCCTTTTTTTTTCTGTAAAGCATTGTGTGCCAATAATTTGCCCAACAGATCATGACATTCCAGTCATCAGACTAATGGAGTATGACTGAAGTAGATACGGTGACATGGCCCTGAGATTTACCGTTTCTAACGTGGTGTAGGCCTTGCGCATGGGCGTGGCAAAGCAGTCGGGCAGGGGGCCACCCTCGCGACAAATGTTAGTCTCCACTTCTAGCCGTATACTGTCATCAAAGCCAATCGGACATGTAGCCTGGAGTGAGAAGTATCTGTAGTGGGGGTGAAGGACAACAGATATTTAAAAATCCCTCAAATTAAGTCACAAGTTGTGCACAGAATTTTCCCAGGTCTCTGTCCGCCCCAAGCAGAGCAGCCCCTCATTGGTTGAAAAGATCCATGCTGATCGGGAGTGTTCATTTTGTTGGTAGCTATTCGACCATAACGCTTGCATTTCCTAGTCATTCATGAACCAGCTAAGTTCAATTCTGACCAAAGGAGCCTCGGTTGCTAAGAAAATTGTACCCTTTCTCGATCAAGCTCGAGACTCAATGAGTCAAGTTGAGATGCTTGAAAATATGACTTGAAGGTTCATGTCGCAAGAGGTCACAAAGAAGTCTTATCCCTAACTCCTAAGAGTGATTTACTTGGAACATTCCTCATCCTTGCAAATCACAACACCATTTAGTAAACCGTGCCCATAAACAGTTGGACTCGGTTTATTTGTCGTATGCCTCATCTCACACGAAACCCAGTCAGTTTACTAGTGAAGTATTCATCCTCACACATTTCAAAAGGCAATGGTGTTGGAGTTTGGCTGGTGGGGGATCGTCAGGGTTAACCCTCCTATGCTGAAGTCACTCTTTGGGTTATTTGGTAAACACCTTAAAGAAGCACAGCTGTGTCGTGTTGTGCACTGCACCAACAGTCCCTCACAGGGATAT